GTCGGAGGTGTCCCCAATCCGCTGCCCGGATGCCCCTTCCATACGCTGCCTGGAGGCCCCTCCTCAACTCCGCTGCCCGAGAGCCCCTCCAATCCGCTGCTCAGAGGCCCCGCGAACCTGCTGCCCAAAAGCCTCTCAAATCCGCTGGCCGTAGGTGCCCCCAATCCTTCGACCGGAAGCCCCGCCAATCCGGCACCCCCAGATCCACCGCTCGGAAGGCCCATTGATCTAGTAAGCTCAAACGTTGCGCTGGCGAGCCCCTCCTGCCGCGGGCGCTTAAGACCACCTTCTGCCCTGGGCCTTTCGAACCCAAGCCCCTCGCTCCCACCGTCGTCTGATGATTTTGCGGAAAATTGCCCCTCTGAGCTCCCAGAGGGGCTCCCCCCGGGTTCGGGTTGCACCCCTTGTTCGCCTTCCAGAGCGGCAAAGTATGACATCATGGCGCAGGGGAGGCGTAGGCTCAACTCCTCTTGGAAGTAACGAGTAATGCCCTCTTTGAGGGCCTCCAGCCCGTCGGGGTCGGGGTCATTGCGGTGGCGTTGCAACACCGCGTCGATCACAGCGAGACACTCGCACTTGGTGAGCTTTTGCATGCGGCCCCGGTACTTGGCTTCTCGGTAGTCCCATCTCTCTTTCCAGTAGGCGTCTGTCTTGTCCCGGTAGTCCTCCGGGGCCAGCTTTTGGTGTTCCTCTGGTAGGTCGAACTCAGGGAACCAGTCAAGGACCTGTAAATTAGATCAGAAGCTGTTGGAAGGTCTGCAAGTCGTCAATTTCTTGTTTTTGATGTTAGTGGGTGAGCTCATTTGCCTGTTTGCAGTCCTGGCAAGTGCACAAAATGCCAAATAGCTCAATGCCAATGCAGAATCTTCACCACGCGTCCGCTTATTGACCCCTCCACCAGGCTTCTGAAAAGCCAAGTGTTATTGAAAGAACACGCTCAGATGTGAGCTACCCTTTCTGAGAAAGATACTGATCGCCACAGGTCCTCGTTAAGATTGTGCTCGCTGCTTCTCTTGGGATAATGGACAAAATCGCATTGAAGACTGCGACCTGGTCGCCACACACTTCATATATCCAGACAGCATGTTGGACCTTCAGACGAGATTTGTGCATGCAAAGTTGTCTTCCATGGGTAGGTTAGGCAGAGTAGAGGCTCCTGGGCTGAATCAGAGCGGGAAAATTCTAGTCTCGCATATGCAAGTCTATGACCTGCTAGTAAAAATGGGAACTCAACAGAAGGTCGACAAGATGACCAAGCCCGTGATCAAACTCAAGAAGGCTTTTCTCCTCTTCTACATCTATGTTGACGAGTTCTCTCATACGAGTAGGCGCACACCGCTGCGGTTGTACACGGCCCAAATATCAGTACATGGACACCAATAAGTGATCTAGCTTTTAAAGGTTCACATTTGAGTTTCAAGCTTTGTCAAATTGCAGACAACGAACCTCCGTGTGTCAAAAGCTTGACCACTGCAGGAATCATTTGCTCCCTCTTCCCTCAAAAGAAGCTTCGGACCCCTGGGATGAAGGTAGGCCTCAAGGTTGCAAAGTTCTCAACAAGTCTGCTCTCCTCAAGTTAGGTTTTGACGCAATGTCAACAACTTAGCAACCATAGCAAACAATAAATGGAGTCAACCATAACCAGTAAAGGGAGTTTTTGGTGAAATTACAGTCCCGACCTGGACTCCTGGTTAGCCTGCTAAACATTGAGGAGAGAAGCCAGAGAACTCTGTGGCTTACTTCTTGAGCGCTTTTTCTGGGCCCTTTTCCCTTTTCGATCTTTACCATCTTTGCAACCATCTTCTGAAGATCATTCTGGTGGACGTCTCCTAGTACTTTGCTGGAGGGGATGAGTTCGTGACTTAGTCTGTCGATGACAGGTGCTTCACTGCAAAGTATCCAAACAACTTGCCTTGAGAGGACTGCACTGCTTTGAGATTTCATCATGCTGGTTTCTCCCTTGTGGTCATAGTTAGCTTGTGAATTAACAAACACAGTGCCAAATAAGTAAGGCTTTTGAGGCCCGCTTCTTGTTGTGCATCCAGTGCCCTGCGTACAGCTGCGATTGAGGGTGTTCTGGGCAGGAGCTGCTTGAAAGGTGTTCAAAACGTAAAACAGAGTTAGTGCCCGGCAATCAGCCTGTCCTTGAAAAGCCAGCACGTAGCCAGCACATACACAGATGTATTTCTGACATCTATCGATAGTGTCCAATGTAGTAAAGCTGGCTGAAACAACAAACCTGTCAAGGACTAGAGACTCATTCTTCCACTGGACTCTTGTTTAGGCAAATTTTACTGCCTGAATGCAGAATCTACTTCTGTGACTGTCAAAAGACATGTCAAGATAAATACCTTGGATTTTCACAACTGTCTTTAGCAATTGACAAAGCATTTCTATGAATAGATGGCCAGTCATCACTTCATTGCCAGAAGCCCCACTGGGAGCTGCCTCAAGACTTTGTTCCAAAAGGTATGCCATCTTTTCACCTTCTCAATGTACGGCATTCATGGCACTGATGTGATTAGAATAGTTGACCGTCACTGACGTCTTTTTTACGACTATGGCCGTGACTGGCTTCCTGCAGGATTTCTAAAGACAGGGGGCCATGTAAAATCTCATCCAGTAGCATTCACTTACTTGTCCTGCATGGCCTTCTCAATCACTGGGCCAAGTACCGGCATGACGTTCGTCAATCCTGGTGAACTCGTCCATTCCCCGTCCAGAAAAATCATGAACTTAGAACTACTTTTATCAGACCCTGAACTCTTTGATCTAGTTAGTATCATGTCCTGCAAGCTGCGCTCTTTCTTTTTGGAAACCATAAGCAAGGGCTGTGGCTCCTGCAGCGCGCTCGCCATTGTTTCAGTAAGGGACTTGCCAAGCAGACAATCCTCGTCTAAGTTTCCATCTGGCCCGCTACGCTGCAAGCATCCTCGTGACAAGTCGTTGACATTGACGCGTACGCTGAAGAAATACTTCCACAAAAGGAGAGCTGGAGACCAAGCATGTTGAGTAGCTCTTTGTAACTTATCACACGCTCCTCACAAAATCTGCTTTTGAATGCTGCTGGGAACGCCAGCTAGAGCGGGACCCCACTTGCATCCATCAGCATGGATGTATGCTTTCAACCCTTGCAAGCTTTTGTTGGAATATGTGAGGGTTCAAGAAAGGTCGGGCAAGAATGATCTCCTTCTGCCATGATCTGATTGACATCAAGCGCTAAGTTACCAAATGACAGTAATGTATCATTGTATGCTTTTGCTTGCATTGTTGCAGCTTGCTGGGGACGTTTTCAGCGTTTTGATTCCAGGGATCCACCTTTTACTTCGGTGGATCCCCCAAAGTTAACCCACCAGGTTTTTGTTTAACTCGGCGGATTTTATTAGCACCCGGCGGGAGCACCGAGAGATGAAACTCGGATCGAGGTGGCACCAAAACAGATAAAAGAGACCGGTAGAAGGATCCACCGGGTGCATGCTACAGCAAACACTGGCGGAAAATTTGGAATAAGTTAATAACGCGGGTCCGCGGGGGGCCGCCCGCGGCGATCGCCGCACCATGATGCGACGGGCGCAGACTTTGACTTTCACGCCCCAGGGTTTGGTAACAGGGTTTGTGAGCTGCTGGGTTAATGCGAATGCATCTACGATTTCAATACGCTGGTCAGAGCAAATCAAGCGTACCTGGCCTGGGCTGACAAACCCATTTAAATTTTAAACCTTCTGGGATCCTGCTCGGGTTACCCTAGTTTTAAAAAAATGGGTTACAAGGTAACGCCAAATATTCAAAATTTCAAAGATTGCAGATGATGCACACCGGTATGGCGGGACCCTGCATGAGGCTTCTTGCCACTGCAACTTGCAAGCTGTGCCTTTGAGGGACTTCAGTTTGAGGGAGAAGGAAGTAGGTACATGTCAGATAGCGTAGGAAATGCAGAGGCTGTGGCAACAATGCCAATGGTTGTGCAACGCCCATCCCATGCAACGCCATACGAGCTTGCTTCTGATGGGACTAAATTGCCGAGAAGGGAGGAAGAAGTGATGATACAAGAAGGATGCTCGCTGGAAATGATAAAGCTGTCTTCGTAACAGGTATCAAGGTGAGCTTAGGGATCGATTGTTATGTTCTAGGTAGTTTGTGCTTCCTGCTTTGACATGACAAGAAGCCACAATCGCTCAAGGGCATGGGTAGCAACAATCCTGCAAGGAGCCGGCAAATCCTCAGTTCTCTAAAAACTGTCAATCAGGAGAATGTTTTATGTCAGTCAAATGAGAGATGCCTTGGAAAAGGAGGTCTGAGAATACTGTGATAGCTCCATCAGGCTGATTACCATCTATTGAGTAGTCTGCAAGTTGCTTAGCCCTGGAGCTACACTAGAAAAGTCTTATGTACCAGGCAATAAATTGTAGTGCAAGTAGTTACTTCGGTTGCTTCTTACTTGGTCTCGCTCAGCATCAATAAAGGTTCTCTGATGGCTGTAGATTGCATCCAGTAGGAGGTTCCACTCAAGATCTTACTGTCTCTACCCCACCGTCCTTGAGGTACTTGGCACTCTGCCTAGACCATATTCAGAACAACTGCAATGAACGTTTGTCTCATGACGAACATAGGCAGTCACTGAAAAGCTGATGTTTGTTTGCAGCTTACAGTACCTCAACCCCTGCAATGGCTCAAATGAACGAGCTCGAGGGCAGTGTCAGTCGTGCCAGCCTTCCCCTGCCCTTTCATACATCCCTCAGTAGCTTTGCGTCAGACGTCTCTGCTCAGCTGGTGGAGCTGGAGATCAGATGTGATGCGCAACCTGTCCCCGCAAACAAAGCTGGGGCGAAGCAGAGACTGCTTAGCGGCATTTTGGTGAGACATGCGGGAGAGAGTCTTATGGAGGGAGGTTGGAGGTCAGGAGCGGAGGTTGTGAAGGGGTCAGTGGGGCGTTCAAGTGGAAACGCAAGCGTAGACTGGGGTATTGAAGGGGATGCGTGTAAAGTCAGCATGAACTGTGGGCTGCAGATTGGCGGTGGACAAGGAACTCTCGGAGAGGTTCAGAGTGAGATCGAGAGAACCAAGGCGGCGCTGACGGAGTTCTTGGAGGAGTTGGGCTTGAAAGAGTGGAGCGCTACTGAAAAGAGGGAAAGTTCCGCCGGTGGGGTGGGACCAGGGGGTTTGAGCAGGGGTGCGAAGGTGGTTAAAGACCTAACTGCCTGTGTCGAGGAACATGGGAAGCTCAGGGCTCAGCTGCAGCAGCTTCATGCAGAGAGGGGCGCAGATGAGACGGAAGAATCGGCGACAGAAAGTTGTTCCAAGAGCGGCGATGAGGAGCAAGCGGGGTCCGACCTTTCTTTCTCGAACCTGGTGAGACGGCCAGGGTCGGCGAAGGGTGGGGCGGCAGGTTTGCAGAGGGTGCCGGGAGAGGTTAATTGTGTGAGGTTTGAAGCGGGACCGGTTAGGCAGAGTGGGGGCTCGCTGGAGGGCGACTCGGTTGGGTTAGGCATTAACCCGGGGTCTGTGGACTGTTCCTTGAGCGAGGACACAGATGTTGTGGTTATGTCTGACAGCGAAGGTGAGGCGGCGTTGGAAGAGGGGTATGTCGAAGGGGAGGAAAAGAGTGCAGGAACTTCAGGGGCCAACGACGAGAGGACTGCCGCGGGTGACGAATGGAGCGCAAGCGGGGTGTTGCGAAAAGCTGGGGGAGACGCGGATGAAAGAGGAGTGATTGGAGGCATGGGAAGATCAGGCCGAAGGGCTCAAGCAGAAGGAAGCGGCGGTGAGATGAGGGGTCCAGAGAAAGTGTCGATTGGTGAGCGGGAGCGGACGATTCTGGCGCGCTTGCAGGAGTCCGAGAAACGCCTTCAGCAGCTGCAGAGAGAGGCCCTTGCTGACGTGGCAACTTCTCATTGGTCCACTGGGGAAACTACAGGGGCAGGAGGAAAGGATGGGGGGCCTGACGTGGCAGAGATTGATTGGCCGGAGGAGACTCGGGCAGCGGCAAGTCAGTTCCTGCAAGCGATGACCGCTCATCTGGCTGGTCTATTCGAAGAATACCACAGTCTCCTGGCTGCCACGTGGCATCATGGGAGGCCGTCAGATGGGGGCCAGGTGGCACCGGCGGAGGGCGCCCAAGTGGATTCAGAAGCTGAGCTGAAGCCAAGCTGGGACCTGCTCTTCTCCATGGAAAAGCTCCAGATGCAAGCGGGCGGGGGGGCGCTTTTGGCAGGGCCTCAGACTCCCCCGGCAGGGAGGGTCTCTGGCTTCGAGCTGCAGTCGGCATCAACAACTCCCGGCTCGGAACCCCGAGGTTTCTCTGACCAAGCCCCTAACCCGAATGCGGGAGCGGTCAGCTACCGGTACGCTGACGTCATGCTGGGGACATCGCCTGAAAGCGTGGCGTGTGACGGCGAGCCGCTGAGGTCAGCGCTGAGGTCACCAACGGGGAAGAACGTGCACTCTGCCGCTGCTGCTTTCGCGTCCTGGGCAGCAGCCGGGCCCCACTTTTCGGACGCCGGAACCCAGTCCGAACTGCGCGAGCTTGCGGACGCTTCCGTTCAGTGCGACCTGGCTCTTCCGCTAACCCGCCAACTAACCAACTCTCAAACCGGCCTTGAACCTAGCCCGCTCCCGGCTAGCCCACGAGCGTCTTCGGAGAAAGCCCCCTCTGCTAGTCTGCGCTACCCTCCCACTCAGCAGCCCCTTCAGAACTCAGAGCGCCGGACAGGCTCCAGGCGTCCAGCTCTGGCACCCGTTTCGAGCAACACTATGGGCGTTGATTCCCCGAGAAACTCCCCGAAAGTGGGGCGCAAGAGAGCGTCCGGAGTCCGCAACTTGGACGCCTGTGGGGTTTCGGACGCCCGTAGATGGGGCGCTCAGAAGGGAGAAGGGTCGGTGGATGGGGACGTTCTAAGGCGGCGGTGCCGCACACTGGAGTGCCAGGTGGCGGCGCTGACAGGTAGGTGACGTCAGCCCTCACTGCTGCTTCCCTTGGAGTCTAGCCCGTGTCCAGAATGTCCGATGATGATCATTTTCTTTCCTTTGGATTGTGGACTCGTCTGGGAGTCTGCAGAGAGCTATAGCGTGCAAACCGAAAGTGATTGTATCTGGTCGGTTGTTTTTGCCGAGTGCACTGAACAGTAGGATGACACGCATGGTAGCTCTGAAGACTCTAGACAGAGGAGTGTGTTTCAATCCTCGTGTATGACGGGGTAGTGGATTGAAAGGGACTTGCGAATGATTCTTCTCAAGACGTTTACCCAAGTAAACGGCACCATATTTGTTCTAGAAGTGTTCAAACGGCTGACCTTTCTGGGCGAAACAGCTTTGGCAGTTTCGCTGACGGAGCCTTGAGAGTTGGCTGTTACCCTCTTAACACTGATTGTTTGGACGGTTCTGGTCTTACCTTGCATGCTTTGAGTCTGTCCGTTCTGCTTGAACCGGAGCTAGAAAAGGGAAGAATAAGTTAGAAGTCAAAAACCCTTGCAGAATACGGACGGTTTCGGTGGGGGCATCATGCAGGAGTGAAGTGTCTGATCCGCTTCTCGACTGGTGCGTGCAGGTCTGCTCGAGGCCGAGAAGGCCGAGAGGGAGCGACTCGAGCGCTGGCAGGACGATATGGAGAAGCGGGTCTTGAGCGCCCCCGCCGCCCCAGCCCCCTCCCCAGTTCCAAACCCCGAACCCGGGGTGCCTTGCTCCGAGAGCGGAATCTCTTTGTCGCCTGCTGGAAGCGATGAGGTGCTTGAAGCGGAACTGCCCCGTAATCGCCAGACGGGCGCAGAAACTAGAGACGTAAGCGCTGGGATGGACATGCCTTCTCGGGAAGGTGACGCCATGGCTTCGGAGTGTGTTGTCAGAGGAGGGGAAGGGGCGTATCTGGGCGACGCCATCAAAACCCGGGGAGAGGGGATTGGTGAGGAATATTCCGAGCGGGAAGCTGGGGGGCTGGTCGGCGGAAAGGGCCCGGGAACGAGCGAGCCGCGCTGTTCTGAGGTGGACGGAGAAGATAGGGCAGGAGTTGAACCGGGCAGTTTGGAAGCAGAGGGACGGCGCCTGGCAGAAGATGAACCGCGGAATCTGGAGGACGGACAGCGCTCGGTAGAAGGTGAACCGGGCAGTTCAAAACTGGTGGCAGGGCGCCCGGTAGAACCTGGACCGGGCACTGGGAAGGCGCACAGACAGCGGCCGGGAGAAAGTGCAACGGGCGATGCTGAGGGACGGGGGCTGGGGGAGCTTCTGGGCGTCGTTGAAAAGCAGAATGAGGAACTGAGCAGGTTACGGGAGGAGCTGGAAAGAATGCAAAGTGAAGTGCAGACGAGAGAGGAGGTAGCAAGGGAAGCGCCGAAAGTGCGAGGAGGAGTGCGGTTGCAAGAGAAGCGGAAGGGAAACGGAACAGAACAGGAAACGGAACAGGGAACGGAAGCGGAGCAGCACCCAGTGCGAGAAGTGGGGGCGACAAGGGGAGCGGGAGGGAGGGGGAGAGCGCCGGAAACGGAGCGAACCGAAGGAGAGCAAACGCTGATGAGGAAAAGTTGTGGCGCAGACGAAGAGGGCGAACAGGAGGAGGTCGGGGCGAGGGACGGAGCAGCAACGAAAGGAGAGCGGACGAGCGGAACAGAGGAGAGGCAGAACGGAACTTGGGGTGCAGAATTCACCGGCTCCGACAAGGACGGGGATAAGGGCGGGTCTTCTGCGAGACAATCCTCCAGAGAGGTGCGGGCGAAGGATTTGGGGCCAGAGCACGACCCGCAAGCTCTAGAGGGCCTTCTTTCGCGGCTGGAAAGCAGCAAAAGCGGGGAGTGTACGTTGAGCTTCCTCCTAACATTGGTACGCGTCTGTAGAGCTCTGCTCGCTGGCGGAGAAAAGAACGATGCCGACGGGCTGGAGCACGGTGAGGAAGTCAAGAGGGTTTCGGGGAGGGCTGGGAAACATCAGGCGTTGCTGAAAGTTCTAGAGGGGGCGCGGGAGCAGCGACGGGCGGCAGAGGCGGCTCTGAGCGGGCTCCACGTGTCAGCAGAAGCGGTCGAGGAGGCCACTGAGAGGCGAGGTCCGGCCAAAGACTCGAGCGGAACGGATCACGTGTTGCGGACCGCAAGTCGGCGGCTCGGAGAGAGCCACGTGGCGGTCGTCCGTCTTCTGACGGCGGTTATGACGGAGGTCGCTCATGACGTAGCCGCCCGGAGCAACCAATGGGTTGGCTTAAGTGCGAGTAAAAGCGGTGGCGGGGATTTGAGGGGTGCGGGAGACGTGTCAGGCGCAGTTTTGGGGCGCTCAGGCGAGGGTTTAGGCGGTCTATTGAGCGGGTTAGGCGAGGGTTACAGCTGGCTTACGGACGGTCTGGGAACGGGTCTGGACGGTGTCCTGAGATGCGTCCGAAAAAGGCAAGAAGATGCTCGGGCGGTTGGGACGGAACTTGGTCGGGAGCTCCGTTCCGAGGTTTTGAACTTTTGTGCTGTTGTGGGTACGGAGAAGGAGGTGGGAACGACGGCTTTGAACCGGTTGCGGACGGCTACGGACTGCGTGGTTGAGATTTTCTATCCTTCGGACGGATCTGGCGGGGACACGGGAATGCAGAGGAACGGGGAAGGGGCGTCAGGAAGTCGCCTGAAAGCGGGTCCGAGTCTGAGAAGGGAAACTGGGGAGGCGGCGGAGAGGCAACTAGAGATGGCGACGGACTTTGCAATGTGGGCGGAAGTGGACGAGCTGCGGGAGTTGCTGAATGAGCTACGGCAGGAAGGGGATAGCTTACAGCAGAAGAGCGAGGAGATTCGTGCGCAGACGAGCAGGGCGAAGGAAGAGGCGGAGCGGGAAGCTTTAGAGTTGCAACGGCAGGCAGAGAAGGCTGGAAAATTACGGGAGCGGGAGGCTTTGGAGCGGGGGGGTGAGAAAGAGCGAGCAGAGAAAGAGATTCAAGGCTTGAAGGGGGAGGTTTGGAAAACAGAAGCGGAGCTAAGGAGAATAAAGGGGAAGGTTTTGAAACACAGGGAGGATTTGGGTTCCGTCGAAAAAGAGTGCCGGCGGGTGGTTGAGGAGCGGAACGTAACGGCGGAAGAAACGGAACGTCTGCGCGAGCGCGCTCTGAGCCTCAAGGAAGAGGTAAAGAGCGCGCAAACAGAGGTTGAGAATGAGCGGGAGAGGGCCCGTGAATCGCGGAAGGAGGCCCTTGCAGCCGCGGAAGAGGCGGGGAAGTCTAGAGAGAAACTGCGGGCGCTAGAAGGGCTGGTCCAAAAGGCGACCCAGGCGGTTCAGCGGCTAGAAAGTGACCGGAAGGGTTTGTTGGAGCGGTTACGAGGAACGGAGAGCGCGCTTCGACGGGGCGAGGAGGAAGTTCTAAGGGTGCGGCAGAGCGTGGGGGAGGCCGAGGGGAAGCTAAGCGAGTTGGAGGACGAGGAGCGGGAGTTTTGGGGCCGTGTGGACGGAAGCAGACGGGAAGTGGAGCAACTAGAACGGCGACTTGCAGAGGTAAGCACCGCTGAAAGCAGAACTATATCCGGTGTATTCCCAAGGGGGCCGGATATTCTACTCGTTTATGTTTCACTTCTGCTTCTGGGCGTCAAAACCCTTAACCGAGCCAGACAACGTTTGTCCAGAGCCGTGCTTCCAGATCTTCGAATCAGAATCTGCTTTTGCATTCGGGAAGGACTCGGGTGAGTCCTTGTTAGATTGAATTTTCCTGCAAAGTCCTGGATATGAAACTGCTTCCAGGAGTAGCGCACCTCTTGATATCATTGGGCTCTGCTTGAGTTGGACCAGCCTTCAAATTTCCGGAGGCTTTGTTTGTCCACAAAGTCTCCTGCTTGGCTTGTCCAAGCTCCACCCCAGACCCTGACAACACCAAACACATTGCAAAGTGAGCACCTTTGACATGACCAATCAGAAAAAACTCATCTTTCGGTGGCCACTTCCACAGCGCCACCTTAAATCTTTAGAGGAGTCCGTTTGAAAAGGCAGGCGTGATCCCGTGCGAAATTCGTCGCGCTAACACATAACCTCATTTACTACCTCCTCTTTTCCAGCTCGGAAGCGAACGTGAGGTAGCAGAGCGCCAGCTGGCCGAGGCACGTGCCCAGCTGCGGAAGACAGCCGCCGAGAGGGAGCCGGATTCCGGCCAGAACGGAGCGGGGCGGGGCCGGAACGGTGCAGCGGAAGAGGAGGCTGGGGCGGCGCTGGAAGAGAAGCTGGCGTCGTTGCAAGGAGAGCTTATGGACGTGCAGGTACGCTATCCCCTGCATCCTTCCACCTTCACCTTTCTCACTCGTTCTCACTTCCATCCTCGATTCCAGGAAAAGGTACGCCTTCTCTTCGGAGACGCCCCTCTTTCACCTATCTGCTCGAAGACAGCCTTCTACCCTAGCATTTGCTTCATCATCTTTTCTGCTTTCCTTCTAAGCATCACCCAACCTCTTTTCAGTCACGTACTCGATTACTAGAACACGACTTCTGGGAAGACGCAGAGTGCTTGCACTCTTCTCAACAAACGAATGCTAGAGATGCTGCCCTATGGGAGACTTGCTTTCGTTTTCACTCAATGCGCATTGGGTACCCTGACGTCCTCGAGAAACTCGACCGCTGGTCCCACATGTTCGGACACTGAATGCAGGAGAGGTTTCAACAATAGGAGCGATAGCATGTATTTCTTCCAGCCTCTCGAAGCTTATGCTTACAAGACGCAGTTCTCTCCAACCAAGACGGAAAGCTTGTGGAAGAGTACAGCGCTTGCGAAGAAATCTTCACCTTTTTGTCCGGGTTATTCGTGAGAAGTGCTGTATTCAACGTCATCGCCTGGCCCTTCTTGTGCTTGACAAAATCTAGATTGTCTGCTCTAACGGCGACCATTGTACAGGTCCACCTGCTCGCAAGTCGCCGCGAGTGCCAGAGCCAAGAGGAGCGCGCCCTCCGGGCCTCCCAAGATGCTGACGTGGCACGGGATGAGCTGGCACTGCTCAAGAAGACGGCACTTAATGCGCGACGGGAAGCGGAAGAGGCGCAGGCGCAAGCGAGGGCCGCGGGGGTTGCGTTAAAAGCGATTAAGACGAGGTTAGAGCAGATGGTTTCGCTTAACCCCCGTGGGCGGAAGGAGGATGGGGTGACGCAAGAGGGATCCCTCGCTGACGACTCGGAGCGCGAGTTGGAAGCGATGGGCAGGGAGGGAGTGAGTAAAGAGATGGTGAAAGTAGCGGAGGGAATTCGGGGGTTAGAGGAGCGGGTTTTGCAGAAGGAGGAACGGGTAAGGGTTCTGGAGGCGAGGGTGAAGGCTGCGATAGAAACTGTGGCAGCGGAAGAGGGAAAGCTAAAGATTCTGAGAGAGGAGGCGCGGGCAATGGCAGAAGGGGTCGGGAAGAGACGCGGGCAGAAACTGGAGTTGGAGGCGAAGTGCGAAGAGTTGACTGGTCAGGTTAGGGCGCTAACCGAACGGTTAGCTAACGAGAGTGCTCGGCTGAAGCTGGTTGAGAATGACGTTATAGGCGCCGGGGAAGACTTTGAGCGGGTCAAGGAGCGAGTTGGCGCGGCCGAGGCGAAGTTACGGCTGGTTAAGGAAGAAACGGAGCAAGCTAAGGGGGTTTACAGGCGGGTTAAGGAGGAGGTCAGGGAGGCGAAGCTGGAGTTGAGTAAGACGCGGGGCGAGTTTAGGGAACTAGAGCGAAGGTGGCTGGGATTGAAGCTCGAAGTGACGGGTGCGAAGAGCGGTGTGAATGGGCTCAAAGTCAAGGGGATTGGAAGTAGGCGGGACGGGCCTGAAACGGTGGGGTTGGATGGCGGTGTGAGCGAGCTTGACGGTTTTGACGGGGGGAGCAAGGGGGGCGGTGTGAATATGCTCGACGGATTGAGACTCTCTGCGCCGGAGCTGCTAGGTTCTACATCGCAGAATGGCGGAAAGGGGCGGGAAAAGCAAACTAGACAGGCGACAACGTCTGTTGGTCAGGCAAGGGTTTCCGCGGACGTCCATCGGACGGAGGAGCGTGTTCGGACGCCCAATGAGAGTACTACTCCGCTCGACGTTCCAAGTCGGAGCTGGGATCCCCTCCACAGAAGCGACGGTTCAACGTTGCGGACAGGGCCCGACGGACAACAGCCACGAAAAGCAGCTGCTAGCCGTTCGGGCAGGTTGACGCGGACGGGTGAAACGTACGAGGCCGGAATGGCGACCGCGGAAGGGGCGGAGGCGCAGCTGCGGGTCGCCCAGAACGGCCTCGGGGAGTTGCTGTCGCAGATGCACTCGCTGCAGGAGCGCGTGGCGCGGGCGTCCGAGTCGGACGAGTCGCGTAAAGTCAGCGGGCGTGACGTGAGCCGGGGGGATCCCCTCGAAAGCCTCGCGGAGGCGTCGCTGGCGGCGTGTCTCGAGGGGGTGAGGCAAGTGCACGCTCAACTGAAAGAGGCGTGCAAGTCCGTACCCCCTGGGACAGATTCGGAGCAGTCCAGTGCCACGTGTCAGCAGGAGAAGCTGCCACGTGGCAGGGACGTGGAGCTCCGGGCGCTGGAGGAGGTGTGCGGGCAGATGCGGGCGGATCTGTGGAAACTGGCGGAACGGAACGAGGCGCTTCGGCGGGTGCTGCGGTGCGGGGCTTCGGAGCGGGGGGTTGGATTGGCTGGTGGATCCGGGGAGGGGAAGAACGAGGGGACGGCTTGTAGTGCGATGAGGCCGTGCGTGAAGTGCAGAAGTCTGAATGCAAAGGTGGGTGGCTTCGCAATTGTGGATTTTGTACAGCGGAGATGAAAATATGGCTAAGCATCTGAGCCGTTCCGAGAAATGTTGCTGCTGCTCATCCGATGATGCTGCGCTTCTACCGGTCGTACAGCAATCGGTCAACAAGATGTCCTGGCCCGATGCCGTGAGATTGCGGCTGCAAGAAAGATTCCTGGAGCAAGAGTTTGAACGTCAAATTCGGCCTTCAAGTTGCGCAGGTTAAATCGCAAAGCTTGGCACCACCTTATGGCGCCACGCAGTTTAACTCCAGGTCTTCTCTTGTGACCAGATAACTTAGATTGTTTGGTTTTCGCTTAATAGTGGTTATGCTGAGTCTACACAGCCCTAAAACCTCTTTGGAAATCTTCGTCCGTCAACGTCCGTCACTAAAACGCTGCTTCCGTGTTTTTTCGGCGTGCAGTTCCTGGAGATTAGCAACGAGGCCGCACGTCTCCGACTGCTTATGAAGACCCTGAAGGCCCGGATCGTCAGGTACTTGTGATTAGCCGCAGCAACAGTTTGTATATTATCTAAGGTGAACATGTCTTTCCAGCAGCCAGCTTATTGGGGCTTTTCTTCCTGGCTAAATTGTTCGGGATTGACTCGGAACCCGTTTGCGGCTGGTCCGCCAGGTCATGCGCGTTGAACCTGGATAAACCGTGATCTTGGATGATCTGAGACCGGACTGCAAGCATTGCGGACGTCTCTAAGACCCTGGGGTATGATGAAATAGATGTTGCCTCGTTCAGATTGGTACGGATGGTGCACGAGCTGGCAGCAGCTGAGCCACTGCATTCGCAGAGTGCGTGATTGATTCGAAATGACATGATGCTAGCTCGTGGACACATCTAGGCGGGATGACGTAAGTATCATGTCCGACCCTATGTACATCGAATTATGAGTCCGTCTGCACGTGATTTTCATTGTTAGACTCAAGCCATGCCGCGCGCACACAACGTAAACGAACGGATTGCCAGAACATATCAACGGCATTGAGCCGCTCACGACGGTACGTGACCCAGAGTGCACTGCACGTACTAGCGCTAATATGCCGGTGCACACAAGATGCACATATTGTCATTCACCGCACTGCACCGCCAGGGGGCGCTTCTGCAACCTGGCACGTTTCGTACGGGAGTACTTCGACGGACGGTCACTCTGGCCCGGGGCGGTACGCGACGGGCGGCGCCGCTGGCGGCGGGCGCTCGCTCGTAAGCGCAGGCCCCCACAGGCCTGGCGCCCTTCAATGATGCCAGTATGCCGTCCACTGAGTGAAACTTAGGTATGTGGTCATGTGCCAGATAGATCTGGCTTGATATTCAGTCATATCATAACTGCGTCGGATGTGAATGCACTGCGTGGTTATGCTAGAAGTGTGACGAAACATTTCCGCCCTGCCGGACCGGAGTGCCGAGTCCGTACAACCGCCGGGATCGCGGCCGCAGGCTGCGTCAGAACACACCGCCGGGTTTAGTTAGACGCCGTCGTGCGTCCAGGG